AAGACTATCACGTGCCCGGCGGAGCCTCTTAGTGTTCGGGGCAATTAGTCTCGTTTGGTATTTCTAAGAAGTAGAGTCCACACGAAGGTAGATTTTTCGGCGAAGCCGAAGCCGAACCGAACGTTCGGTTTTAATCTAACATTCCGCCGATTACCGAGGCCGAAGCCGATGATTTACTTTAAAATTAAGTAAATCGAATTTGTCTAAGAATAAGCTCCATTTTGCTGTTTTAATTGTACAATGTACATGTAATACAAAATACATAGAAACGTATTTTTCTCTTGTGTATTAAAAAAAAATTTCTTAAAATTAGTGTAGTCACAGTTCAGTTTCTGTGCAAAGTCATTGTTATGTAGCAAATATATTTGTTTATATGAACTTTAATAACATAATAATAATATTTTGGTGCTTACACTTTTTCTAAATGTTTAGCCGAGCTTCTCCTTTAATTTGTGGTGTACGTCTTAATATTGTAACACAAATCGAGGGACCTACAGTTTCACGCCGCTTCCGCACACCAAATGGATTTTATCAGAAGCTTTTTCATTGCAGAAACACGCTCGGAGGTTTGGCATTTTCTAATCTGATGTTGTCACTTAAATTCAACAATTTGTTTGCGTTCTCGCGGCGGCTGGTGGGTGGAGCAGAAAGTTATTTTTAAGCAACTGCTTTAAGTAACTCTAGGGAGCCAGTATTGCAATATTGAAAAATAGCGGCACCTCTAATAACTCGTTTATATGTATATTCCTTAATCATAATTTCAAATTCTCTCGAAGTTCTCAGCTGGCAGCTGATTTTCCGAAAAAGTAAGCAATACCTTTTTTTTAAACCTATTATTCACAATAAATGTGTACCTTTAAATTATAATAAATGTTCAAAAAAAAAAATTGTAATCTAGATAGCAAAAAGGTTCGGCTTCGGCAAAAACTTCGGTAGCCGAAGCCGAGCATTCAGCTGAATATGAAAATCATGCCGATTAATCGGCAAACCGAAACCGAAGCCGAACAATCGGTCGGAATCTACTAAGATGCACAAGCACATTCGCTATTTAGTAGTTCAGTTTATGAAAAGGCATCTCTGAATTCATCATTCATACTGATTTGTTATCGTTAGTTTTGTTTACGTTTTTTAACCACCGTCTTTTCTGGACACAGCATAGACTTTTTAGAATACCCCTAGTTAAGACTGAAAAATGCTGTCAAACAATTTCTGAAGGCATTGAAAATCGTTGGAATTAATAGTTTCAGTGATATATCGTGAAGAACAGGACGCTTCTGAATGAATACATTTCTCAATGCAAAATTTCAGGCTTAGGGCTTGGAAAAGCACGGGATTTAGCAGTTTCAGCAATGTATGGTGAGGATAGGAAGCTTGTCCTACACACATTTAATAAGATTATACATTTGTCATAACGAAAGCACTCAGTATATTGCAGACTTTCACCGACTAAATACTTATTTCGTCACATCCGAAAATGATCTTTCGCACTGATTTCAGCGGGACTGTACTGATCTAAAAGCATTTCCCTACTGAAGATTTTTTTTGTAATAGCTATGGCATAAAAGGGAAACCAATTACTCTCAAAAATATCGTCGCTTGGGGCGTAGAGCTGCAAAACTATCGATAGTGCCCCCATTCGATAGTTTCGATAGTTTAGGTTGCCCACTATCGATAGTATCGACATATTTTCAATGGATAAAGTTTAAAGTTTTATTTATATATAAACCATTGTTTCGTTTAAATAAAGTACTTAGTATATATTTCTTTCACATACAGATTATTTCATTTTGTGAACACAAGCAATTAACGTTGTATAAGGAACTTTAATAAAAATAAATATNCAAGCAATGTACTCATTTTGGGTGTGGTTCGATTTTCATAGGGGACAAGCCTTATTTGCAAACGTTCAATCAAAATGTTGAATATGGCAAGCCCTTCATTTGTTTTTAGTTTATTGTGCGTTTCATTTAGAGTTTGAAAGATACCACATATGATAAGAATGATTAACGAAATTGCGACAGAGTTACTTGCAGATACTTGAATGGTCGCGTCATCAAATGGTGCCAATAATTCAACTAATTCTTCTAGTAGCTCTATTTCGTCAGCAGATAAAGTCTGGGTGCTTTTGGGGTTCTTAAAATTACAGAGGAAAGTATATCCTTAGTTTGCAAAATTCGCTTTATCATGCGATATGCACTGTTCCAGCGTGTCGGACATTCTTGCAATAAATTATAAACTTTTCCTGTTCCTTGTGCATTTTTAAATTTGGCGTAAGCGATCGAGCTACTTTTGAAGTAGGTCACAACCTTTTTACATTTCGTTATCACTTTGACTTTTTCAAAAGCTAACACATCTTGCACAACCAAATTTAATGTGCAAAGCACGGAAGATGTCGTTTTTGCAACAATTCGCATGCTTTAATCATGGATGACGCATTGTAGGTGATAACATTCGAAACTTTATCTAAAACGCCCCACTCCGTCAGTACAATTCGCAAGGACTCGGCAATATTGGCAGCCGAATGATTAGTACTCTCCAAAAGATTGTAGGTAGACAATACTGCGCTTCTTAAGCTACAATTTTCAATGAAGTGACAGGTTACGGTTAAGTAACTCTCGTTTGCCCGAGAGGTCCAGGCATCCGTAGAAATAGCACAAGTATTTACTTTCATAAGAATATTTTTAAGATTTGCTTTTGATTGATCATATAATTCGTGGCACATTACATTCTGCAACGTGGTTCTGCTAGGCATCACATAGCGCGGATCTAGTAACTTGACGAAAGCGGAAAAAGCCTCGTCTTCTACGATTCGGAAAGGCTGGTAATCTATGGCAATCATTTTCATTAGTGCACTGTCAAGTGCTTTTTTACGAGCCGAATGCGAGTCATACGTTTCTGATGCATTGAAAAATGAAGTTATTTTATTTGGTTTCGACATTCTGTTGTAACCAGGATGTGTGCGTTTTAAATGGTCCAACAAATTGGAGGTATTGCCGCTGGTTTTGTATACTTTTTCACAAGACAAACATTTTGCACGCGTTTTATCCTTGGATCGCTGAAAATAAGTCCACACTTCTGAAATTGCATTTCGGCTTCGTTTGCACACTACGCTCTCACATTCGCTGCCTGATTCATTTGGTTCGCTATTTTCATGAACCGTTGCTGCAAATATTAATGTTTTCGTTCAGTATTGATAGATATAACTACACGTATATATATTTTATAATGCTTACCACTTTCTTGAGACATTTTAATTTATTTACAACTCATTCAACGCCACAGCCTCGCGCCTTTTTATTTGACAAACTTGTTAAATTCAAATAAAAGAAGTGCAAAATTAGAAAAAACTATCGATTGTCGCAAGTAAATTCGATGGTTTTGCAACTATCGATAGTATTAACCTAAAAACGACACCATCGATAATGTCGATAGTGTAAATTTAAGACACACTATCGATACTATCGATAGTGCCATCGATAGTTTTGCAGCTCTATTGGGGCGCAATATCTCGCATATGCCAAATGCAATGACACGTACTTGTATGATAGCCCAGAAATAGAATTTCTAACTGAACTTAATAAATATAAGCTTCTACAGGCTGGACATGTTTGCACTAGACCCTAGTCACTCGTCTATTGGTACAGAGTTCATCCATTCTGTTTCGGCAATATCGTGACTCCATCTTGTCGAATCCACATATTTTCCAGCTCAAAATCCGAATTTCAAGAATAATGGAAAAAGAAACAAAGTCTAAGCGGTAGAGGTTATGGCAGCTATTTCGAAGATCACCAAATCTCCTCATCAGACTTCTTTTAATTACTTTAGTTCCACTAATCGTGCCCCTCGCAGAAAATAATCGAAAAAATTATTTAATATCCGTTACACTTTTATCTAAAAATCCCAAATACAAAGTAACTACAAACGCCTCTTAACCTTCTTTCGAAATAAAAACCAAAAAGCGTCCAAATCGGCACTGTATACACCTCCGTTACGGAATACTGTGAATTAGAGTTAGATTTTCATATTTATGAGCGGTTGAATTCAGTGAGTTGTAACTGCAACTGTTGCTTCGCAAATATGCCACAAATTTCATAAATTGTACCAGCAATTTATTTTTTCATACAAATCTACTCATTGCATTTTCTGTGGGCTTGTGCATCTTTGCACAGTGGTTAAGTTTTATAAAGTATTTGATCAAAATATACTTGAACGCTGAGTAAAATAAGAACAGGTACTTACTACGGCTAGTAAGTGTTTTTGTATGCATTAAATCAAAAAGTGTAGGCAACCGTTGCATTTTTGAGTTTTACAAGATATTTTTTTAAATACTATGTTTGTAGAGGAGCCGCTCAAATTTACCATTATATGCACCTACATATATAAGTATGGAGTTTATATATGTATGCAGTGTATTGTCTATTGTGTTATGCATTGACACGAATTTCACTAGCGAATGCCTATATGGCTGACTAACCACACAATTGACTGACTAGTTGCCAACATGCATTAAAGCTGAACAATAGTTACAGCCATCACAATTTCGAATTGCATATGCCGAAGATTTCATTTGTAAAAGTGCAATATGCAATGTATTTTTGGGCTTACGATTACAAACACACATCAAAATATTACCCTTAATTAAATGCGCAGTGAACCTTGGGAAGTATTAATGAAGATTAACTAGTTTTTTACATTTTTTGAATGTCCGGCTTCGGTTAGTTGGGTTCGAGAAATGATACCGACCAACTCCAGTAAAACTCTAGCATAGATTTAAAAGCCCAAAGGCAAGTAGATTATTTGCACCTAAATTCTCCGGAATTAATTTTTGGTTATGGCTTCATACCAACATAAGAACTTTCTGTATGAAAACTATGTAAAATGTATGGTCTTAATTTCAATATAAAATTTTTCGAATAACTCGTAAAACGGTTTTGGCTAAAAGGCGAATACCCTAGAATGTACCTAATGCGAAAGCAAAGCTTACCTTAAACCTTAAGTTGTAAGGACTACTACAGTAAGTAGATTTGTCAAGGTTGATTGACTGTCGTTTAGAAGGCCTGCGGGTAAGAATTGTGCTTCGTCCGATCTCTGGCTAACAGTAGCTGGCTCCTAAGTAAACAAAGTCCTTTACTATACTGTCAACAGGGTCTCCCTTTGTCTATTTATTGCTATGAGGTAATTTGGCTTTTCCTCATTCTCCTCTAAACTAATATCTTTTTCTTATTTCTTAAGGTTGAGTAAAGGCTCAAAAGCTTCAAATGTAATTACAGATTTCAGGGCCTCTGAAAAATATTTAGTTTCTGCTTTGCAATTGCTTACAACAAACACAAAAAGATGAAGTGCACTGACTGCACTATTTGAAAGACTGTTAAAATACCAAAGTAGAAATAGCAGCCAGAAACTGGGAAGTTTGTGTTTGTGTGTAATTTGTCGTTTTTCTATGCTTCTATCTCTTTAAAAGTTTCGAATATTTAGCCCATATTGTTTAGTTTTTTTCGATTTTCCTTTTGAAATGCTGCAATAATCTTTAACGCGTTATTGGAAAGAGGAAAATCTAATTGGGGTCATGTGACTTGTGGTTTCGAAGTTATGGCTGATAAAAAATTCCAAAACTATGTTAAGTGCAACGCCCCCTTTTACAAACTCATTTATATATACCTTTCTATAAGCACCTACCATAGATATGTCTGCATACCAAATGTTATGTTCATGTGACTTATGGTTCCCAAGTTATAACTGGTAAAATATTCCACGCCTTTGGGATTTGCCGCCCTCTTTCACAGTCCCATTTATATATATACCTTACTATAAGCACCTACCAGAGATATGTCTGCATACAAAATTTCAAGTTCATGTGACTTACGGTTCCGAAGTTAGAGCTGGTTAAATAATTCACGCCTATGGGAGGTTCCACGCCCCCTTTTCCAATACCGCCAATTTTTCCCATTAGTATGGAATTAATTTTATTTATCTCGACAGCAAGTTCCAATGCCCTTCCACAAATATTTCAAGAGATATACAACATGAAAATTTTAGTTAGTTAGGAGGTGTCACGCCCTCTTTTCCAGTACTACCCATTTTTATCTATGCCTATAACCTTCCCGGGGTAAAAGCAAATAAGTGTGCAAAGTTTCGTGCGATTCCGTGCCGCGGTTCAGAAGTTATAAGGTAATAAACAAACAGACATTCACATTTATATATATAGACTAGCCAATGCCCGCTTACTTCGCGGCGCCTAATAAGAGCTTTTGCGTTGGCCAATGCAAAAGAGCGTTTAAAAACAAAATTAGTCTGTAAAGTCAAAATTTTTGATTTAAGTTGAAACCACTAAGGCGCAGTATCCTCCTCACACATAGGTCAATAATAGTAACGCTGTGATACCATATGGAATACCAATCCCTTTCGGTGTCATGAGCTTTACCGATGGTCTTATTTCCACCTGTGTGATCTCTGCCAAGCATGCGTAATCTTTTTGTATGATCTTGCAACTACAACATTGAAACTCAAGAGCACAGAAGTGCGCTTTCTGTTATAGGAGGGCCAAGAATCCTCGCTGTCCCACAGGATGAAAAGTTTTCCGGTACATTCCTAAATGAGCCGTGTGATCTCTTAAGTATCTTTCAAATGAAGCACGGTGATCTTTCCTTTTTAATTCGCCACTTTTACAATTCGTGGTAAAATTTATGAACTGATTTCTGGGTAGATGCAGGACCGCATGATCGTGCATGAGGGCGTCAGAAAAACTTAACCCGATCCTTCATTTAGACATCTGGAAACTAAATTCGTATAGCTTAAACATAGGGCCAAAGCAGACCAACCACACGGGGTTTCTATACATTTCAGCTGCAGCGCCATCCATGGGCGTAGCCAGGTAGGGGCAGGGGGGTGCTCGAGCCGCCCCCCTAACTTTCAAATTTTCCTTATATATAAATAAAATAGTACCCTGAAATGCCAGCTTAATAGGGTCGATAAGTAATGGTATAGAAAAACAATGAACCCTGGAAAAAAGCTAATATTTTATCCAACCAAAAACCTTTTCGTATAAAAAGGGAAATATACGACACCAGCTTGCTGGATCGATCAAGTGATTGTACCATCAAGCTCGAAGCATATAACTTACCAGCGTGCTGGTACAATATTTATTTCTTTACAAATGAGGTCGAGGAAAGATCGAAATGATTTGAGCCGAAATTTCATAATTTTTCTACCATTTTGTTAAACATTGTTTTTTTTTTTTAATTCACAACTGCAATATCGTGAACTTAATATTCCACAAACACGGCTTTGAAATTTCCGCCAAATTATTTTTTACTTAGAAAATTTAGCTAATTTCACCACTCACGACACCAGAACGCTGGTACAATCATAAAATTTTCAAATAGTTTTTGTAGTCGCACCAGCAGCTGGTACAATCACACCACAAGAACATACAAGGTCAATCGACTTGATGGGCCATTTAACTAATGAAGCATATTGGGGGCCAGTTTTTCAGTGCACGGCCGTGGTTCAAACTAAGTTTAAACGCCCGATCTGGCTGGTTTAAACTAAGATCAGCCAACCAAATGTCAGTCAGCTGTTCAATTTAAACCCAGTTTACTTAATCTGAGTTTAAACTGGCACTGAAAAACTGGCCCTAAGGGCGGCAAACTTATCTATTTTAAACTATAGTTAAATCGTTGATAGATAAGTTAAAAAACAGCCCTAACACTTATACAGTATGTATGTATAAAAACGTAAGGAACATACAATACATATATGTCAGTCTTTCTTAGTTTAAAAATTCATCTCTTACATATATGCAAAAAAAAAATAGATCAAATTAAACATAAATATACAACTTTTCCATGCCCAGTATGAATAAATTCTCCAAAGGGCTAAAAAAAGGGCTAGGGACAATTTTAAATTTATGTGGCCAAAAAAAGTATGTGGTAGATAAAT